TGTCTAATCACGCCTCTCCCCTTTGAGCAGTCTCTGCTGATGTCTTTTCTGAGTCCACTTCAATTTCACATTCCTGAAAAGTTAGGGTGTAGCAAGAAACTGGAAATCCAAAGGGGTCTGTTCCTGCTTTTTTTTTTTTTTTTATCATTTTGCTCACCAGCTGAGGTTGACCACTACCAGGTTAGAGAAGCACCCACACGTGTCATCCCAGTCTGCAGGCAGAGCCCTGTTCCCTCCCTCTGTGCTGTGAAATCAGAGATGTCGTGCTGTCCGCGTTGTCCCCGTAGCTCCCGGGGCCCTGCCCTCGCAGCAGCGGGTGCAGGGTCCGCAGCCTGGGTGCCTGCAGCAGAGCTCTCCCTGCCTGCGCGGCAGCAGGGAGGTTCGCCGGGTGCCTGCAGCGTGTGCCTGTAGCAAGGGAGTTCAGAGGGAAGAAAGGGAAGGTCTACGAAGTGAAACCCACTCTGCACTATTGAAATCTTTTGGAATCACTGATTGGAAAGGGATGTCCTTTACAGAGATGCTTCATTGATGTCTTTCTCCAAAATCTCTTGCTTTTGATCACACTCCATCCCACCCCCCAGTTCTTTTCCTTGCTGTTCCACACCCAGCACCCTGAGAACACGCTCAAACGGTTTTGCTTTGAGGCTCGGCTCACGAGCTGTTGGTTGCTGTTACCAGAAGGTCCCCAGGAAGGAGCTGGGTTTGTCCCCGCTTTTCCAGCACCGCCACCACCCCGACCAGTGTCAGCGATGCCCAGTGGAGCTGAACTAAACCCCGGCGCAGGGAACAGGATAAAGCCTTGATCTTCTCCTTTGGGTGAACGTCCTGTGCTTTCAGTGTGTCTCGTGCTCTTTATGCTCTTCCCGTATTAGGGTGTTTTTGCAAAGGCTCTGCTGTGGATTTACCGCTAGGACCAGCTTCGTATTCTGACCGCGCTTGTGCGCTGCAGGAATTCATTTGCAGCAGGCTTCACTGCTGGTGAAGTGGTAGTTTTTTGGTATCGGTCAACCTCCCTTGGTTAGCCAGTTTGTGTATTAGAAACTGAACATATTAAAATTGTCTTAAAGGATAATGTTCCTCAATTAGTGGGTTTTTTAATTCATGGATGAAAACTGTCACTTTAGCATGTAGAGTCTTCTCTTACAGAATCCTGTGCAGTGATTCTAGAATTTTGAAACTGTATGATGTGTTACATTCACAAATTTATTTGCTATCAACATTCCCTTAAAAAAAAAAAAAAAGAAAACAACATACCACAAGCTGCTGTAATGATTTTGTGTCAAGATGATCTAATAAACTTTCAAAACAAAGTTAATTTTTTGGTTTTGTAAATAGTCCTTTTTTTAAGACTCTTCCAGTTTGTACAGACCCAAAAACGTGGCGTGGATGTACCCCAGCTCTGAATCCTTGTGTCTTTGGAGGGGAGGTAAGAGGAATCTCATTCTGAAAGCTCGGGAGGAGGTAAGAAGTTATTTCCAACTCCACTGTGTGGGGTGGTGGGTTTATCGACTGGGGACTGGGGTGCACTGGCGAGGGGATCCTGCTGGTCCTGAATCCCTGATGCGTGTATTGGGACGGATCACAGCTCAAAGGCATGAAGTGCATGAGCAGAAAAGGAGTCTGCAGTGAGGGAGCCTGCAGTGATGCTGCTCTTCGTCTCTTATCTTTTAAACTGACCCAATTTTTATAGGCACCAAAACTTTGATTCCGACATTTGGATAATTCCCTGGTCGTGTGGTCAGGTTTTAGCACTCCACTTTGCGAGTGGTCACTAACACAAAAATTAGAGGAAAAAAAATAATAATTCAGACAACTTCACTTAAACCTGTATTAATTGGTTTCTTTTTTTGAATCACAGTTGCAGCTAAAATCTAAGCACTTGTGAAAATCAGAGCTCTGGTCTTAATGAGATGTCTAGAAACTGAAGGATAGAAATCAGCCCCTTCCTCTCTTCCTCTTGGCCTGGCCCCCAGTCGGGTTTGTGGCACAAACATTGGTACGAGGATTAGGGGCCAGAACTGTCGCAGCAGGAGCCGGAGGTATTTGGTTTTGCTGATAGCCACTAAGACCAGAGCTTGGGAAAATCATCTCTTGGGACAGAAAATATCCGGGGCTGCGCAGTCAGGAGCTGCCGCCTTTGCGCTGGGAAGAACCCAGGGCTTGCCCTGACTCGTCAGCC